TTTCCAATATTGGTATTATGATGGTAGGAAATTAAGGGGGTCTTGGAAAAATATGTTTAGTGGTGTTAGATTCTTTTAAAATGTGAAAATTATTTAGAATAATGTCTTTAACTTGTTTGTTGTGTGTGTAGTATGTGAGGGTAAGGGGCGGCCTGATACAGGAGTTTGTTTCCATGAGAGATGAAGAGGAGTTGTGGTCTTGATTTACAACATAGTTGCAAGCTTTTTTCATAATGTTTTTGGGGTAGTCACGATCCTGAAAAAATGATTCTAATTCTGTTGAGCAGACATTGAAATCATCAGGTTCACTGCACAGTTTCTGTAGTCTAAGGAACTGGATTTTTGGGATGTTTTTTTTCATATATGTGGGGTGGTTAGAATTAAAGTGCAAATAGTTGTGGGTGTCTGTAGGTTTATAATGAATACTGGTTGTTATCTTATCAGAAGATATAGAGAGAAGAATATTCAAGAATGATAGTGAAGAATCAGAAATGTTATGCATGTAAGACAATAAAGGATGGAAGTTACTCACGTAATGAATAAACATTTCTAGCTCGGGCAAGGTGCCCATGAAGATTCCAACAGCGTCATCGATATATCTCTTGTAAAGTAGGGGGTAAGGGACCATCATACTGTGTAAACATGTGTTCTTCGATATATCCAACAAAAAGAATTTATTGTTAAAACAGAATCCACTGCATTTTAAAATTAGTTCTGCTAAATGGATCAAAGTATTAGTGTGTGTGTGTGTAGTGGGGGGGGGGGGGTCATTACATTTGTCAAAAAGTATCTTAAGGCTATAAAACCCTCTTGTTGCAGTATTACTGTGTATAATGATTTGTGTGTATTTATTTGGGTGTATCTGTGTGTATGTGTGCACGCACTTGTATGTATATATTTATCATTTCTATTGTTTCATTTGTAAGCATTGTTTCATTTAAGAATTTACTGTTCAGTTAGTGATACCTGAAGAATGGCAATGCCCGAAATGTTGTATCTAAAAATGATATATATTAAAAATATATATATTAACTTCTTAGTGGTTTGACCTATAACATTCTTCTTTTTATCTTTATCAACAGTCATTACGTGTAATTTCCTGTAATAAAATAATAGTAATAAAAATTGTGTAATAAAAATTAGTCCTTGCCTTAGTAATATTTATATTATAATGAGTAAGTTACATTAAATTTCATACTTCAAAGAGGGGTGGTAAATCAATTACAGAATAAACAAGACCTAGAGAACAATGTCACATTTTTTCATACAAGGGAAGAATGAGGATTTATATAAATATTTCCTTTGAAGATTAAGAAAATAAAACTTATAATATTAACATGTGATTTATTAACTATAATTTGATGCCAAGTGTATTCATATACGTTGACAACAAAGTAATTTAACCTTATCGCCAAGGGTATCTTTTACTGCGCATGACACAAGGTTTTAGTGTCTTACCTTCAAAAGCTTATTAAACTACTTTTTGTTTATGTTATACCAATTCAAATAGCATAAAATCTTAGCTAATAATCCATATTTTGATAGTATATAAGTTTTAAGTTCTTAATTCTATAAGGCAATATTAAAAAAAATCCTGAATTTCCCCTAGTGTGACACACGTTACATTTTCTCTAGGCATCTTCTCTCCTCTATTTTATCCACCACCCCCTTCGTAAAGTAGGAAATTAAACGTAAATTACTCACTATAAAATCGTCATTGCTCAAACCATATTTTCATAGCCTTCAATTTTGTTTGGTTACAGAGCTATTGGATAGAAAATCAAACCCCTCCTGCTACATCCTGTCTTTCAGAGTCCATTGATAGTTGTCTCTTATGTTTCATTATATATTACCTATAACCAATAGAAAGTCAAGGTTTTTATCTATCAAATGGTGTATTGTATAACGTTATGTTCTGAACAACTAGATGACAATTTCACTCAGAGTACCAAAATTGTTCCCATGAGAAAGTTGACGACTAGCATGGATGAACTTGTAATGACTCTTGTCGCATAGTTAAAAAGCCAGACAAATTTTGAGAGGTAAGGGAATTTGTCTACTTTTTGTATGTTATTAGTCTATATTGTTTGGTGCATTATTTAATTAAATAAAAATTATTATGTGCATTACTATCATTGGTATATAATAATTAGGGTTAACTCTCTTCAACAATCGACAGAAAAATAAAAGAAGACTGGGTAAGTATTTTGTTTCTTGTTTTTTATGTTTATGCTTCATGTATAGTTATAAAAGTAACTAAAATGTAAAAACAGAGATCCTTTTAGGTTAGTTAACATTAGATGAGGTAAAATAAATAATATAAATATCATACTAAAAATGTTTCATGAGGCACACACTCAAGCAGCCCGTGGGTAATGTAATTCATTAGTGTACTGTGAACTGCACATTCCCTGAGTGATTTACAACTTATAATGGCACAGATAGTAGTTAGATACCGTTCAAAGGGCAATAAAACAATAAAATTTAATTATAAATAGTTGTATATTGTTATGAACTTAGAGCTACTAAGATAAACAAATGGAGTTTCATGTTACAATTTGAAGTCATTCTAGAAAAAAAAAAAAAGGTAATTTTAGATCTATTTCGAATTTGTTTAAGGTGGTTAAGAAGTCAGTCAAATGACCAATCTTGTACAGAGTTAGGGTGGAGAAAATAATACATAAAAATACAAAGTTTTACTGCAAAGAAAATTTTCTAATTTAATTGAGAAGTTTTATTGATTATGCAAATGAGATTTGAAATTCTTCAAAAGAAGAAAAGTATTTTTAATCTTAAGATGAAAATTAATTTGCATTGGAGCATTTAACACTTTGACTTCATATATTCATCTAGACATTTGTAGTGAAAATACTTCATTAAAAATTCTTATTTTTCCTCTACAAAATACTCTTAATGCTTACTGAAACCCTGTGAAATTTTGTGAAACTACACAGAACATATTAGAAGTTATAGTATTAAACTATAAAGGTCAATTTGGGTCATGAACTCAGCCAATTCAACTGCGAGAGAATTAATCTGAATAATCATATAACTACATTATATCTTGCATTTCCTTATTTTTGTAACTCTTCAAAATATCCTTAAAAATAAACTTTATTCTCACGGGAAACAAATCAACGAGCTGAATTTGTAACAGTTTTTGTCATGTAGTTAGATAGCCAGAAAAAGTTTAATAGTTATGGGACATTGTCTGCTTTTTGCATGTTATTATTTTGTGTTCTTGGTGCATTATTTAATTGAATCAAAAATTATTCAATGCAGTAATACCATTAATATAAAAAAGTAGAGTTAAGTGCCATCGACAGTTGACAGCAAAAAAAAGAAGACCCAGGTAAGTACTTTATTTCTTGTTTTTCATACATATCCTTTACTTATTATTACACAAGTAACTAAAATGTAAAAATCAGAAACTGTTTAGGTTATATGAGGTAAAATAACAAACAATAATAAAAAAATTTTCACAAGGTACACTCAAAAGTAGCTCGTGAGTAGCCCAGGCATTATTAAATTTGATAGGGTAACATGAGCTCCACATTTGGCAATTGATTTAAAAATTTTATGGTGGGAATATTAATTTTAACACAGGTCAAAGAGCAATAAAACAATAAAATTTAAGTATAAACAGATATATACTGTTACAGGTTTAAAGCTATTCAGTATAAACTAATGTAGTGAAGTTGAAGTAATTCTATAAAGAAAAAGGGTAATTTAGATGCATTTTGAATTTATTTTTCGTGGTTATGAGGTCAGTCCAACTGACTAACCTTCTATATAGAATTAGGGTAGAGAAAATAACGTTTTATAATTATTTAGGAGATTTTAGATATTATGCAAATGAAATTTGAGATATTTGAAACAAATAAAAGCAATTTTTTTCTTAATACGAAAATCCCTTTGCACTCGGACTAATAAAAAAAAAGACTCATATTATTAATGGACATGTCTTTAGTAAAAATACTTCATTAAAAAATCTGATATTTTTATGTACATAAGACTTGTAATATTTACTGAAAGTCCATCAAATTTTGTGAAGATACATGCACTGTATTAAAACTTGTAGTATGGAAACTGTAACAAGTACAAAATGGTCACAAACTTGGTTGATTCGACTAAACCCATGTGGAAAAAGTTAAGACATGTATTAGCATCGTTGACAGTTTGTTTTAATAAAGTTGCATTATTAAAATTCACTATCAAGAGGTATGATTTTGAAGTATGTTAATAAGAAATTATTCAAAAAACAATTATAAAATTTTCTGTAAAAAGCATTAATTTTGAAAAAAATATATTTACTATAAAGCTCTAGTTCTGAGTCAAATAAATCAACAATGTTTACTTTTAATATACATTATCTGTCAAGATATTACTTATTGAATGTACCAGAAAAGCTGTTGAAGCAGCACCCACTTTCTCATTCAATTATGTTACCTACACCATTTAAGTATATGATGAGACTACATGTCAGAGAATGTACATCAAACAAAATCTCAAGTTTTTTTATATATATATGCCTTTTAAGCTCAGGTTCTATACAGGAATGTTTCCTATGACAACAGCTACTAAAAAGGAATTCTTAAAAGGAACTTGCAGTCCATGTTCAATAAGAGACATGACTTAGAACAGATGGTTTCAAACTAAATGTTATAAATGTGCTAAAGAACAGAAAGACCAACATTTTCCATTTGTTTGTTTACATGTATCCTTACATTACGTGAAGCTTACTCCAAAAGGGTCATAAGCATGTTTCTTGTTGTTAATTTATTCATTTGTTAAGATTTACTTTCTGTGTTAAATGATAACTGCAAATTTTATTTATTTTACTGGAAAATGAAATTCAAGCACTTTATTTTAAAGTCTATAAAGTAACTTTCTTCATGTATTTATATTTATAGTTGCATGTCATTACTGATTGTAATAAATATGATAACTTATTAACAACTTTAAGATAAAAAACGGAAATGTAAAATTTTCATACATACATCTTCACTGAGATCTTCCTGCCTAGATTCCAGCAAGAGTATTATCATGGTCCACAATTCCTGGCAACAAGTGCAAGAAAAAGGAGATACCTTGAAGTAGTCTTCCTGGGAAAGCTTCAAAAATGATGGAAAAACGTATACAGAAAAATTCCTGAACATATTTACTTTTTTGATGTGTAGAAAATTTTTAGTTTAGAATATAAGGACTAACATTTTTAAAGAAACATTTAGGAATCATATAAATTCCAAATAATCCTGAAAATTAGATCTGAAGGTGAAAAAACTGTATATATATATATATATACACATTAAATAGAAGTGAGACAGGGTCACATTAACAATCCACAAAAAACAAGAAATAGTAATAATTTTTATACGACATAGTTAACAGTGGAGAATTTATAATACGTTGAAAGATAGTTTAAAACCAAGAACAAAATAGTTCATTACTGATTTTTTTGTCTTACATTTTTTTCAATTTACAGTAATTTATCCGAGTGGTACGAAGAAGAAGTTATTGGCATTTCAACAATATAATATCACACACTATACATGTAGTCAAGTACTACTGTTGTCTAAGAACACAAGACAAAAATTAAAGCAAGTGTGGTATTTTCAGGTAAAACCAATTTCCTTACAAGTGTCAGACAAGTAAACCTGTAAAAGCAGCTGATTCTGTCAGAAAATAGTAAATAAAGTAGATAACCAAGTACTTTTAGTGTGTATGAAATAATGAGACTGAACAAAGTTGGTAAAAACAAAAAATAGCTTTATTTTATGACAAACACAAAGAAAACTCAGTGTACATACTTGCATATATAAAAGAACAATTGCTCCTACTAGGTTGTGCTTAGTCCCACAGCTTTTTATCTAACTTAAAATAAACTTCCTTCAAACTAAACATGGTGATCTTAAAAGTAAGTTTTCACTTGGCAATCTTCTTGTAGAACTGTATAAAGAAATCACACCTGAAGTCAACAGGTAAACTCGTTTTCTTTGTCCAGTCAACAGCATCAACTTGTGACCTCTGTAATGGTCGACTGTTGCATTCATTTAACATTCTAATTGAATAGCAGTGGATATTACAATAGCAATACTTTTAACCCAGATGCTATATATATTACTGCTTGTATTTCTCTGGTGTTTAATTGTCGATCAGATCTGTTGATTATAAGATTGCTTGGTGGCTTGTCATGTTGAAATCTTAGTTGGCTAAGTTTTTGTTATGGCGGGTCTTCTTTTCTTTGTTTTTCTTGTTGATTTGGTTGATGTTACATTGTATGAGTCCATACATTACTGGTTTAATGCAGCAGGCTAACTCATGGTCTAGATTCATTTTTTGTTTTGCAGGTCATTCAGATCTTTGTATTTAGAGTTTAATGTAGTCTTTAGTACTTTTTTCTGTATGTTATGGTATGCAAAAACAAAAAATGTCACTCCCAAAAATATTCCATGCATTGAAATGAAATCATGCCTTGAAGATCTGGCAAAAAGACTAGTGATCTATTCCACGCAGAACGAAAATACAACAAAAAGTACAGAAAACAGCCATCAAAAAAAAGACAACACCAATACCAGTACTATCAATAATGAACAAATTGTCTTTACAGGTAAAACAGAAAAAAAAAACCCGATTGTCCACTAAGACCCATAATGTCGACCTATGAATCATTTAACTATAACATATGTAAATACATAGCATGGGCATTTTCCACATATGTAACATCAGCAGGTTCCTTCTTCAAAGATGCCTTCAGCTTTAGAACTGTACTAGATCAACTAAACCACAAAGCCTTAATGGCTTGCTTCAACATAGTCTCTCTCTTCATTGAAGTTCCCACCACAGAAGCCTGTAACATAGCATTAGAACTTTACATCAAAGACCCCAACCCACTCACACACATCCTCAGCAACCAACTTGCAACTCTTTTAGAACTTATCACCTCTAAAACTAACTTTATGTTCAACTACCAAAACTACATACAAATAAATGGCTATTCTAGCCAGCATTTTTATAATACAGATTGAATCTCAAGCCATCAGTTCAGCTTTACACTCACCGCTATACTGGTACAGATATGTAGACGATACATTTGCCAGATTCACATCTATAGAACACACATGTAGCTTTTTCAAACACATTAACTCCATACACCCAAATACTAAGTTCACCAGCGAATACAACAAAAGTTAACAACTGGCATTCCTAAACCTCAATACCACAAGAATGGATACACAGTTAAAAAAAAACAACAACAAAGAAATATCACTCATATTGGATTGTATATTCCCTCGAACTCGGCGCATGAAACAAAACAAAAACTCAACATACTAGAAAACCTAATAAACACAGCCACAAGACTTTGCTAACCTGACAAGCTTAACGAAGAAGTCTATGATCTAAAAGAGGAAATTATCAATGTGAATAAACATCCCACAAAAACTGTTGAAACAACCAACAACAACAACAACCAACAACACAATTCAAAAGACAATGAAACAACTAACAACAAAACACTGCACTGCACTGCCGCATACCATACATTCCAGATATCAGCGACAAAATAACATTTGGAAAAAACTCATAACCATACATATCATTCCAGTAAACACTAAATTCATTCAAAAAGCAGGTACAAAATTAAAATCTGTACTATGTAAAAACTACTCTGACAATCATCACATTAACATCATATATAAAATACAATGCAACAACTACCATGATTTCTATGTAGGAGAAACCAGTCGAAAAATGGAAAACAGATTCAATGAACACAAAAAATCACCCTCCCATCTTTTTGAACATTGTATCTCAAATAACCACAGTATAACCATAGAAAATACTAAATATTAAGTAAAGAAACCAAAGTAAAAAAATGAAAAATTAAAGAAGCTCTTCTAATACAAGAACTTAAACCCACATTAAACCAACACCAAGGAACAGTTTTATATCTGTACAAATTATTTATTAACGTTAACTACCATATAATAGGTTAAATATTTACAATACCCTCTATAATCTTACACCTAACATTACTGTCATCTCCACGACACATGATCAATAACGGTCACTCTTTCAAATCTCATTCTCAACATGACGGTCAAAACATTATTTGTTTTGTGCTTTTCAAATAAAAGTTTTGTATACCCATATCAGCTGTCTCTACTATATGTATATTTACTTCAAGTGGGTTCCTCATCATCATGAAGGGTTAAGTAATGCAATGAGTACAGCTTTTGTCAATGAAACTGTGACATTAAGATAATCTTTAACAGAAAATAGGTGGATGTAGTCTTGTGATAGTTTGGTGTTGTGTCACATAATGTCCTGCATTATCTTCCTTATCTCTGTGTCCTAAACTAGTTTCTATGAGGTGTTCTTCCTTTTGTTGTGTATAGGATGTCCAGTTTTACCAATATATTTTGTAAGGCATATGTTACATTTAGTTCATATATGGCATTTTTAATAGTACAGTGGCCAACATAACAGGCTTTTATGGTTTTGATGTGAGTGCTTACATTGTTCTCATTGGCTTTTTGGCAATAATGTGAGAATATGTTTACATGTTTTGCTTGGCTTATGTAAAATACCTGTATTCAGTATTGATTTCTTAATGGCTTTGTGAATTTTAATGCAAAAATTTTAACTAATAATGGGTATGATTAGTCATTTTTCATGTTATTCTACAAACAAGATAAGTTCCACATACCTTAGCAAACTTCCTAGCACCAATATAGCACAGGTCCCACAACAGTAGCAGTAGTCCTTGTGAAAAAATGCTTTCAGTTTCCAACTGTTGGACTTTACAAAACTGCAAATCTAGCATTGAATCTTGCAAAAAACAAAAATTATCAGACAATTTTCCACAAGTGACAAGAACAATAATAAAAAACTAATGTATACGTGTTAGACAAAAATTTACGTTTTCTGTAAATCTAAAATTTTACCTAATTAGACATCATCTAATTATATTTTAATAGAAATATACTAAGAAAAAAATATTGAGCTATTTCATCAAAATAGGTCTTCTACTAATAAAATGTTTTCAATGATATCCAAATAGATTTTAAACAATTCAAAACATATATATATATACCATCCTTCCTCAAGTTCTAATTATAGTACTCTAAAAGAAAACAACATTATTCTTTCTACAGAAGAAGTTAAAGAGAAGGATTAGCAAGTTTAGTGACCATAAGCCAATATTAGGGCTAGTATATAAGTATTATTTTACTGAAATACATAAAACAAATTTGACACCAATGTCAGGTTTTATATATGGGACAGATTCTTCACAATAGGTGTATGCGATTTGTTGGCGACCAATTTCAACAATGAACAAACATCCCACACTCCACTTCTTTTAAAATAATATATCAGAACAAGTCAAACATATATACAAATATTTGTTACACTGTTGATTATCACAGTTGGACCCAGAGCTTTAAAACATTGTCTCTTTTATTCATCAACGTTCACACAGGTTGGTTCAGGTACTTTAGAACACAATTTATCAAGACAAATTATTCTTCCTGCTCTGTTGTTGCAATACAGTCTGTGATAAGTTCAATTTAAAATCACCACTATAAATGTTAGTTACCACAGTTGTATCCAGAGCTTTAAAAATTTTCACTTTTTTGTCCAAGCCCATACAACTGACAAGATGAATTATTATTTTCTACTCTGTTAATATAACACAATCTGTAATAATTTCACTTTAAAAATTGCCACTATATGCTCTTTATGGCTAAACTCACAATTACACAGTCTAGATCTGTCTATCTAACTAACTGTCTGACATGTATTTATACCTCGACAGAGGTCTAGAACATTCCACACACTACTAGATATTAGATGCAATAATACTCAAGTTACACAACAAGGAAAACTCAGAAGGTTCTAGTAACAGGACATAACAATATAACAATCACCAATTCATAACTATTGAACTATATAATGTATGATTCATAAACAGTTACATAAACAAACCTACAATTAACTATCATTTCTAAAGATAACTAAATTTAACACTTGTGCTGGATAATTATCAAAATCATAACTCTTACATTAAACCTAAATTGAAATAGGTATGTATATCTAAAAACCAATTTTAGGTGAATAGGGTAAACAAAAACAAAATGGTTGACATACACACACACATACATTTTATCCAGAGGTAACTACTGTGTACAAAAACATTTTTATTCAATTAAAAATATTATTGTCGTTTTAGTATGTTTGACCACTAATTACAAGCAATTTCATGTAAATTATTTGAATATTTGAACTTTTATTAATTATTTCTGAAAAGGAATTTACCACTGAAAAAAGTAAGAAATGTCAGAATTTCCTCACTATTTACCATAATGTCAAATCCACAGTTTTAAATGTTCAAACAGAAAAACTTCTTCATACAGTACACAGTGTGGTCACAAGTAAATAGACACCACCATTTCAGAAAAAATAAAATTTTTCAGTCATATTCACATGAATTGATATATTTATAATTTAATTAATCTCTAGTAGATCTTCCTTTCACTTCGTGGAGTTCGTTGATCCTTTGGAGCATCAATTTTAGATTGTGGGATTTTCGCCCACCCTTGCTTCAAAACTTGGAGTAGATC